CAACTTAGAAGATCTCTTTCCTGATGTGTAAAGACACGTCAGTCCAATGGGTGCCCTCGAAGCTCTGACTCTTCTTGGCCTCTTGGATCCTCTTGGCGGTCGAATTTGGAAAATCGATGGGTAGACCCCCGCCACCATCGGTTTTGTATCCAAACAGATTCACGTATCGTGCTGACGCTTGAGTGGTCTGCGACCATCGACGATCGCCCGATCGCCGGCTGATCCCACTTTAAAAAGATGGACAGAATTCGCTTTCTGAGCCATTGTATGGGTTGGATAGGTCTTGACCCACCACAAGCTTTCCAGTCTAGTTTGGTGATGTTTGGTGTTTACAGCGAAGGAATCCTTCCACCATCCTCCACCCCCCAATAAAACTCCCCTGGGCATCGGCATGAACATCAGAAGCGTCAGAAGTGCGCAAACTTGGACCAGCCCAGGCCTCAGACGCCACTCGACGCGCCGGCCCTGACGACAGAAACCCTTCAAGGCAAAGGACAGACCGAATTCACCACTTAGACCATGTAACATGCAAGATCTTTGGCAAAAAGCTTAGCAAAAGGCAACAGAAGTCTGTGAAACTGGACGTTCAAAGGGATGCTTCAAGATCTTCGTTCGCCTCCCCGCCACCTGACTCCCTCACCTCCCCCCACTGCTTCAGCGCCAGAGGGTGCCAGTCCGACCCTGTGTCGATTCACTTGGGGAACGGATCAAAGACCGACACCGTGTTTTTCTGCGCGCACAGAGCGGGGGACATGGCTCCCTTTTCGATCGATGTGTGGGGGGGGGCCGTTCGCCAAGTCATGCCATCCACTCCTATTTCGCCACGGCACAACTAGCGTCCAGCGTGGCCGATGAAAGCAACAAAAGCCCGGCCAGATTGGAACGCAAGGAACAACCACCTCGACCGCTGAGCACTGCACATGGCCACCCAAATCGTACTGGTGATGCTATCCATGAACCAGGCGTATCTCACCTCGGAAACACCAACGAAGGGACCAAAGTCGACCGAGCTGGTTCCTTTCTGGGCAAAGGCATCTGCCACATGGGCCGATGACTAGTTTTGGAAGGCAAAGTCTCCCTGAAGCTCTGTTGTCTACTCTGTCCTCAAGGTATCTTTCCGCTGGAGGTTGTTGTCAAAGCAAAATAGTGTAGGATGTGGGAGTCATCAGTGATGTCAGTGGTGACTCCAAACAACTGGGGCGGGATCTATGTTGGGATCTATATAGAACGCCAGATGCAGGACCCGCTGAATCACACTGTGAGTTTCGCCGCAATGCACCACATGCTGTACTCCCAGTGTCCTCATCAATTTGTTGGAGTGTGAAGCCAGGGTTACCTAGCCTCCAACTGTCCCACTCAGTGGTCTTGACCAAGAGTCTTCACACTCAGACGGCAAGTGGAGTGCATTTTTGTGACGAATCCGTAGCTCACAAGTTGTAGATTGTAGCCGAAAAACGGAGCTGTAAGAAGAGCTTGATCATGCTGTGAGCTGTTTCGCAGGCTCATTGATTCTGCAGCCTTCCTGCAGTGACTCCCTGCCCTACAACCATCTTCTGTTCGGAAGGCTAGCTACCCCCGCTGTCTATATAAGTGAGAGTCAGCCCCAACCGGCTGAACAGGTCTTGGGGGTTACAAAAGCATTCGTGAAGGGGTGGGTCTTGAACGGTGATGCAGGTCTGCTTTCAGTTTCCTATCCGTCCACCATGTGACTGCGTTAATTCTTGCAAATACTCTTCTTGTATGCTCCTGACAGAAACCTGTCGGGGATGTTAGGCCCTCCCCGATCGGAATTGGAACTGGCGGGGCGACCCAAATCAATTTGGGGAAACCCACAAGCAAATGATGACTTTCCCTGGGAAAAAAAGAGAATGAGTTCCCTTTCAAGGTGCCCTAAATGATGATTCTCTCTACGCATGTGTGTAGTTATTCTATGTCATGCATTTGGCTCTTTCTAGTGCACAAATGTTTGTCCCGTTGCCCCCAACCCCAGATTCAACCGAGCTCCCACTTCCAGGTCACCGACCCCGCGACCCTCCCCCACACCACAGGACCCGAGCCAGCATCAGGACTCGTAGGATTTGGAAGCCGCCGAGGATCTGCGTCATCACGCCCTGGCCGGCCACATTGCCAGACGAACTGCTGCGTCAACCGTCCGAGTCGGTGAGAGGTGACGGTGAAAGAAGGTGTTCTTCCAGTTCCAATCGTTCTCCCTGAGCCGAGCGCGAGTGAAGCTGCACATGCTAGCTTGATGTCAAATTGATCTGATCCCTCGGAATGTGCAATGCGTGCCATGGCTTTCATGCACCACTAATCCTTCACGCATGAGCCAGACCAACCACAGGATCATAGCCAAGTCGTCTAGTCTACAACGTCGAGGGTTCGGCACACCAGTCTGGATATGAAACTGGGTCCCCATGGATGCTCAGAACTGGCCAACCAAGCGTAGAGCGCCTTCTCTGCGACGGATGCATTCACTAAGACCCCAATCAGTGACCTTAGTCGCGACCAAGGCGATCATCCAAAGCCATCAAATGGACTACACTCACAAAAACACCCCCAAGACAATCCTTCCAAGCCGCCCCTCAGCGGCTGGAAACAGACTCAAACGTACTGCTTGAAGGAGATCTCAATTCAACGTTCACCATTGCAAACAAGGCACTCAAAAAGAACATCAAAAAAGATTCAAAAAAGAACATACCAGCTGCTTCCAAGGGGGTCACCAATGGATATCTCCACACAACTTACAGGTCTCCATTGGGCACCCCTTGGAAGCGCGAGGTATATCACTGTAACCGCCGGCACGTCGACGTCCTGTCGACTCAGCTCGAGGCCCGGTGATGGCGAAGCTGTCGTAAGCGTGCCATCGGTCCTGACGGACGCCACAGACGAACGGGGATGGCTCACCGGGCGAGACCGTTCGTAGCGAATGCTCCGGACTCGTACCGATGGGAGCCCCGTTCGTAGCGTCCGATCGCTCCTAGTAAGGCCCGGAGCCCCGTTCGTAGCTTGATTGTTACTCGGCTTCAGAGAAACCGCTCCGCCCATTTCAGCAGGGGCCACCGGGATCACGTGATGCGAGAAGCCGCGGGAAGGACATGGTCGGGCTACGACGGCTCGCATGGCCTTTCTATGTCCGAAGAAAAAGAAAAGGGGGGCGGAAAGTGCTGGTAAAGGTCATCCATAGGAGGGATGCTCATGAAAATCTGTTCATCCAGGGCTTGAAAAGAAGTAACCAAAACATGCCAAAACACCGTGTCCGCGGTAAACCCATTGTTTTCATTTGCTCTCTGTTGACATTTCACACGAACGGAAACCTTTTTCGGCTTCGATGTGCTCTCGATCCCTCGATTTGCGGGGATCCGGGGATCGGGCTTCGATGAGGATCGACCTTTCCACCGACGAAACCGACGCCAACGACCCACGGTTGCGATTCCAACCCAAACGACCCGTTCAAAAGCTAGCCAAATCACTCGTCTTTCGAAAGAAAAGTACAGTACGTCTCCATTAATTACTTCATATCATCATACTATTATATATTATATCTGCAAACACTATCGGTGCATGTTTTCTTCTCGGACGATTCATATATAGTGCTGAACAAACTTCTGACTGTTGCTGGATCATGTCACAGATTACACCTCGCAGCACCTCATCTTCGTCAAAACGAAACCTCATCAGTGGATAATCCTTTCAGAGTCATTTTGCTCACTTGGAAGACCCAAGTTGTTCCAGTCCAAACTTGCTTGACGTGTTCCAAGCGTCCTTGAAAAAGTCCGTGCTGTACACGAAGATCTTGATGGCCAACTGGTCGGGATTCAATGGAAGCCAACCAGTTGGTCATCGTGCGGTCGGGAAGCGGTCTCGTTCGTAGGGGAAAACCGCGCGGACACTGCTGGCACCGTCTCAAGTGGCTGTGGCATGGTGAGGAAACACCGGAGCGTGTAAGCCAAGCTTGAGAACTGGGCAACTGAAAGTCCACCCCTTGAAATCTGGCGTTGTGTACAAACCAAGTCGGTTTGTAGTGCTCCTACTTGATCCACATTGACCAGAATATGAAACCCTACGTTTGGACCGCGGCGCGTGCTTCCAAGAACAAGGGAAGCGGCTGTGAGTCAAAATTGCTTCCCCCAAACCATGGAAGGCTAACATCACTATATAACTAAGAGATCCTCTTCCTCTCGAGCTCACGACATAGCGTGAGTCGCCACCAGCTTCCACTGGAACAGCACAGAAGAACCCCATGAAAACGCACTGCACAGTCAAGTTACGTAGTTTTATGATTTATGTATTAATTTTTGCAGGGTCCACCAGGGTCCCCCACTGTTGACCGCCAAAACAATTGATCCGTGGGTCGCCCCATCAGCGCGTTCTTTGATTTCTTCCGCGAGTTTTGTTCAACGTGGAAGCGGTGTCCGAACAGTGAAGTGGTTTCCTATCGGGGAACTCAAGCGCTTCTTTGCGATCCCCAACTCGTCACACCGCTTCTAAAGTCTCCAGGTTCTACAGCTGACCAGTCAACCCGACCAAACTACAAGAGCCCTGTCTTCCCTTTGGTTGAGCTAAGTAGAATCCAAAACAGGACCAGTCTTTGAGATGGGGATTGTATCCACCAAACTCCATCTACTTAGGTCACAAACCTATACTCATGTTGACTGATGAATCAATCCCCCCAAGGAACTGAATCTGCTTCTCACATTGTTTGGAACCATCGGAGAGAAAACGGTTTCTTTTCATCCACCGTCCACGTGACCAAACGACTCGTCGCCCGTTCGACTCGACGGCGCCACCGTGCAGTCCGGTGCCTCGATGGTGAAGAGCCCCAAGAGGAGCCCGCTCAGGGTCCTCAGCCCGCTGTGGGAGCCAGCTTGCCATGAGTCTAAACACCAAAGTAGGCGATCGAACGCAGCTGCGACGATCCACTGCATCGAACGCAGTCCACATGAAGAATCGAACGCCCCCGGTCACGCCCGAGAAGCTCCAATGAAGCTCCAATATAGTCCCAACAATTCCGGATATCGATCCCACGGGATTGTCCCATCGCTGCTGAGCCTCCTGACTGAGAAGATCTACCGACGCGGGCCACCCTTTTGGGGTCTGCCCTCAACGACTGGGGCCACCCTTCTTGTTCCTATGCGTTTCGGAGATGTTTGCACTCTGCGAAAGGCAGAAATTGACCTCCACGGCTAGTTGGACCGGCATCCTTGAGAGTGTCGGCAAGGATCTGCCAGATAACTGGTGATCTAGCGATCCACAAAAGAACATTTACGACCAGAAAATGTACAAGCTGGCGCCGCTCTGAGCGATGCGGGAAATCCACCGAGAATCTGAAAGCTGGAAATCTGCCGATAGAGATCCGGAAGCCTTTCACACGAGCTGGCAAAACTTCAGATGCTCTCGTAGACTTCGACCAACCCGACAAGGCACTTTGGCCTTGTTCGCTGTGGCCATTTTTACGGCCTTAAGGGGTGCTGTGGTTCTCTTAAGCGCTGGCTCTTACCACAGCCGTGTTGATAAAGCTCTTAGAGGTGGCCGCGTTGCAATCTTTCAAGGACGGCAAGGTGGCACGCATCAATGCCGTGCCATGGCCCTTCTTCACCAGAACCTGGGCGTCCCGCCACGAAATTCACCGGGGCCACCCCGTCGCTAGACTGATAGGAAAGTGTCCAGCACGGGCCCCCGGGGACAAATCGAGGTGGTTGAGGTTCCACCGAGAGTGTCGTCTCCCCCCAATGCTTTGAACATATTGTCGGTTGAGTGGAAGCAAGAGACTTCGGGAAAACGGGCAAAGATCAACCCATGAGAGGATTGTGCATCCCCCCCAAAACAATTTTTGGCACGTGGTTGAGGAAGTCCTCTGTTACGCCCTTGAGAACAGTTGCACAAGTCTCCAACAGACTGTTGACCACCTGTTGAACCTGTTGTCTTCAAAATCTTCAAAGCATGCAGCATGAAGATGGTGCATTCGGCAAGTTGCCACAACTCCGGCCCTCCATCCTTCCAAGTCACCAGGATGGAGGAGTAATCCACATTGCCGCAGCCTCCACCAATCACCGCGCCGCTGCTATCCAAAGCAAAGGTGCTGCAAAGCCGTCCACTGGACATATCTTGCACTTGCACAAAGCCACCTGGTCGACGAGTTGGTCGGAGGCCATCGCTAGTAGGTTGTAGGCCATCGCTAGAGAGTTGGAGGCCATCGCTATCGGGTTCCTTTTTCATGAATTCAATTGTATATATATATTTTTTTTTTAATATTGCTTTTGTACAAAGCCACCTGTCGACGAGTCTTCGCTTGTCGGTCGGTCGACGGAGGTTCCTTTTCGGTCGGACGAGTCTTCGCTTCGGGCCTTGGTGAAAGACCAAGAGCTTGTTGTCGACCAGATCCATGCCCAGCACGCCCACCGTATCCTCCGGAGCTCCAAAAAATCGAGCAATCCCAATCACACTTGAAAAACAGAAAATAACAGAACGACATGTTGAATAGTGAACAAGAAAAACATCTATGTCTCTACCACCGAACCCCTTCTTCTCGCGTCTTCTCCTTTCTCCTTTCTCCTTTTTCCTTTCTCTCTCTCTCTCTCTCTCTATCTCTCTCTCTCCTCTTGATAAAATGCTAAGTGTTGTACACGCGCCTCTTTTGTACTGTTGGGACTTGAACTCAAGGGCCCTGTTGGTGTCAACTATCTCATTGGTAGTGTTGAGACTGTTGTTTGACACCGTCCCTCAGTCTTTACACTGCCAAACAAACTGTTGGACTCTATACAACTGTTGGACGTACCAACGAAACCTTAAGAGCTTAAACACTCAGTTCGCTTCTGTTGGTTTCATCTTTCAGTGTTGCCCACTTTGTTGGCATTGTCGCAAAAGGATTGGATGCCTCAGCCCGCGATGCGCCAGTCCGTTGGCCAAGTCTCTTCGTCCACGTTGTCGTTCTCACAAGTGATCTCCTGCACGCTGGTCCGGTGAGTGTTCACACTCGTCACCCACTCAGTCCAGTCATCCATGGTGTAACTGTTGACCCATTCTGCCAAGGCTTTGCGAAGCCGTTCTTGCATCTTTGCCGGGTAGAAAGGCAATTCCTTGTGGCAGCGGGCGTTGCGCTGCTTCTGGAGGAGGCTGAACACATGCTGACGTAGCGGCCAGGGAGATGCATCAGGCCAGTTGTGCCCGTGTACTCTATGGCCTGTTGCAAGGCTGCAAAGCACAGGTTGAAACTCCACGTGAACCCTTTTTCCCAAGACAGTTCTGTCGCTACTCGGTGGACAAACGACGCGCCATCCATCGGCGTCATTTTCCATGCCTGAAAGGAGCTCATCTCACTTGGCGTCAGCCGCATTGCGCTGCCGCTTTGAACTGGCAACTGCGGTCTCTGGAAAGACCGGTTGAAGATCTCCACGCCTTTTGTGCCAAGACTGTGAAGATGCTGAGACCTTTCCACCTCAAAGCTGAAAAGAACGAAAGTCTCCACCTCCAAGGACCTTGGTCCTGGTGAGCGTGAGGACATGGGTTTCTGTCACATGGTAGAACAAGGTCTCTGTTGCGTGTCGTGGGGACGTGCTCAGCAACGCTTTGTCCCACACTGGCATATAAACGCCCTCTGGGATGTTGAGAACACCTCCGTTGGCGTCTTTTGCCATGGACTCAAAGGCTTCCGTAGTAGTCGCCAACCACCACGTCTCTTTGTTGGTCAGCTGCGTTGCCACATGGTAGTCGTCTGGGTTGATGCACCTTGGGTAATCCTTTTGGTCTGGGGCAACCCTAGTCGCCTTCAGCCCAAGGTCGCGAAGGTCTCGTTCCATTTTGGCAAGCGCCGTCGATTTGCCAAGGTCTGGCAACTTCTTGAGCACCGTTAGGGCTGAGCTTTCCATCTTGGCGGTGTCTGCAAAAGACGTTGCCACACAAATGGTTGAAACAAAATGGCTGCGCAAAAGAATGAACTCAACTCTGGCGCAGCTCTTGTTGCAGTCATAAAAATACCCTCGTGGGCGTCAACTTTGTTGACTCGTTGAAACTTGAAACACATGTTGCAAGAAAGGCTGTAGACTTCTCACTGCTCTTTCAACACTTGTTGGAATCACACCACCTGCTGCAGTCCAGCTGTTCCAACGTTGTTGGAAGCATCACCATCTGCTGCAGTCCAGCTGTTCCAACGTTGTTGGAAGCATCACCATCCGCTGCAGTCCAGCTGTTCCAACGTTGTTGGAAGAACCATAGCTCAAAAGGATGTGTGTTTATGTGTGTGCACAGTTTGCTCACACAGGCTGCACAAGGTGTTCACTCACGAGATTTGGTGAAACTGTTCGCTGATGTTGGGCTCAGTGGTGGCCAAGAAGGCCTGCGTTGTATAGGCGACGCATCAGTGTTTCGGCTGACACGTACTTGGTGAGGATGTCGGCGATGTTGTCGTGAGTACCGATCTTCAAGATCACCAGGATTCCTTGGTGAACTAACTGTTGGATGAAGAGGTGCTTTCTGTCTATGCGTTTCGCTTTCTTACTTGCTCCAACCCTTGTAGCTATGCTTTTGCCGCTGCTGCTGTCTGTGTGAATCCTCATGTTCAGCTTGTCTGCTAATCCTGATTCCAAGATGAAGTTCTTGGCATGTAGTCCTTCTGTGGCTCCAGTGTTGATGGCGTAGAGTTCTGACTCTGCTGATGATAGTGCTACTGTTGCTTGTGTTCGACTGCCAAAGTTGATTGTTGACCCGAGGAATCGGATGACGAATCCAGTGGTGGATCGTCGTGTTATTGGACAGCCTGCCCAGTCGGCGTCCACAAAGACGTCCAAGTTTAGCTCGCTGTCGCTGTTGGCTAGTCTGACTGTTGGCTGGATCACGAACTTGTAGTGTTGTGTTCCTTTCAGGTAGCGCAGAAGGTGTTTTGCCGTCTTTTGGCTGTGTGCTGTTGGCTGTTGTAGAGATCTGGCTAGTTCCTTTGTTGCATAGCACAGATCTGGCCTGGTGTATGTCATCCATTGTAGTTTACCCACAATTCGTCTGTATTGCGCGTGTTCTTCAGTGTTGAGTGGAGTGTCATCTTCCACTGCTGCTTTCAGGGACGCCGTCCCTGGAGTGGTGGGTTGCATTGCTCCATGTTCATCTCCTGTAGGAGATTTGCAGCGTAGCTGTCTGCCAGGCTAATCTCATAGTGGTCTCCTCTGTGTGTGAGAGGAATGCGATGGTCTGACCCATGGTGAGTGTTCCTGTTGGACGTAGTAAAAGTTGTTTTTGTATAGCGCGGAACGTGTCTTGTATTTGTTGTGGTTCTCCTACAAAAAGGAGATCGTCTACATATGCCATGATGTAGACTGTTCCGGCACTGTTGCAGTAGACATTGGGCTCTGCTTTCAGCCTACGCATGTTGAGCTGCTGCAGTGTTTGTGCCAAGTGGTCCTGCCAGGCCTCTGGCGAAGACCTGAGGCCATAAATCGCCTTGTTGAGCTTCCAAGCGATCCGATCTGCTGCGTTGTAGAATTCTGCTGGTGGCCACATGTAGAGGTTTGATGTTGCTGCGGTAGCGTGAAGAAATGCTGTTGTTATGTCTCCTGTTGCTGCAACCCAGGATCGTGCCAGTGCCACTGTGAGGAGGATCCTGAGAATGCAGAGCATGGGTGTTGAGGCGTAAACGCTGTCAAGGTCGCTGATTACTTCTGTGAACCCTTTTGCAATTCGTGCTCTGACTTCAGTGGTTTTGTCTCGAAAGGCCCATTTGGACTCTATGACGTTGCTTTGTTCCTCTGGTGTGAGATCGTCATATTTGACCTCTGTGTATACTTGTTGTGTCTTCATTTGTCCAACCTCGTGCTTCATACCTTTGATGGTCTTTTGTTTGTCAAACCCTTCTGTGTTAGTGACAAAGGGTTCCAGGAGAATTCGCTCTGTTGCTGCTGCGTCTGGGTCGTCACATGTGGTAGTTGTGATCTCCGTGCCTTTCTTTGTGGTCACTGTTACGCTCTGTATTCGTGTTCGTGTTGTCGGTGGTTCCACGCTTGGACCCTCCAGCGGCGCTGGTGCTTCCGTGGTCCGCTGTTGCTTCGCTGCGCTTCCTTCCGTGACTTCTTCGGCCATCTCCCGTTTGGGAGATGGGAGTGGAAGTGCTGGCCTCGAGTGCTGCGATGTGGGAGATGTTGCCATTGGAGAACCCAAGAGAGCTCTCGGCTTTGCGTCTGGTGTTGTTTGTACTGGACGTTGTTCGATCTCTGTTCCTGTAGTGTGCTGTGGCTCGTGCGTCGTTTGCGCTCCTGTGGTTGTCGCGCTTGCTTCGGCGCGTTGTTGTGGTGGAAGTGGTATGACCTGCGGCGCCGTCTGAAGCGATGTTGTTGGAGTCCATGGTCTGTTCCCAATACAATCCAGTAGTTGCTGGTTGCGCTTCTCAGGCCCGACCTGTCGTCGAATTGTTCGTGCTCTAACAATCTTGTAGGGTATGCCGATGATGGAGTCGTTTGTTGATGTGTCTTTGCTGAGCCAAATGCCTTCAAAGAACCTTGGCTCCAATTTGGGGAGTCCCTTTACTGTTGGGACCATGTACTGCACTGTTTCCCCAAAATCACAGAGTGGTGCTTTGTGTTCCCGCTGCCATCTGCGGAAGTAACTTGCGTTGCCGTCGCTGTGGACGGCGTTGCTTGTGAGCAGGTACGCTGCGCGGCGGACAAGCCATGGCATGATTGGATGTTGGCTTGTCAGGTGCGTGCGGTAGTTGTTCTGCAAGTGTGTTTTGAGCGTTCTCACTTGTCCCATAAGTGTTCTGTGAAAGCGTGCCACGCTGCCTTGTGATTGCGAGCTGTATGCTGATGAGCAGGACTGCCATGCTCACGCCTGTTCCACGTCTATTGCAGTAAGTATTGGTGTTGCTGTCTTTTCGGCGCTGGCTTTCATGTATGTAAAGTCCACTTGTATAACAGGAACCTTGCTGGTATGTTTTGCTGTTGTGTGACTGTCTGCTTTGCCTTTGCTGGCAACGCATGTCGGACACCATGTGCGGTATGGAAGGTGTGTGAGATTGTGTTCTGCTCGCTCTCGTGGTGTTGGTTGTTTGGGAGCCGTCACTCCTCTCGCTGGTTTTGCTGCCTGTGGGTCTTCGTTGTCTGTGTCTAAACGCTCCTTGTATTCTGCTTGTTCTTCGAAGTTTGTCGAGCCGGTCCATGGTGTGTCAAGTGCTTTATCTTGCCCATGTTGCCACTCGTCATTGATGCAGTATTCTCTGTTGCTGTGTGTTGGTTTCACAAAGGTCTGTCTCCACGATGTCAATCTCGATGTGTCTGGACCGTCTGGCATTTGCTGTGGTGTATGCATGTTGGTTCTGGGCTGAACATGGACGCGCTTCCAGTAACGTCCTTCTTTGATCCAATAGTCTGTTGTAATTGGATCGTTGGATGGGTGTGGAAGAGAGGTTGTTGTAGGAGGTGTCTTCTCAAGGCGCCGGTGTGTTGGCTTGAATGGCGTTGACGCCTTCATTGCTGGTGCTGGTTTCGGCATGTCTGGAATCGGTGGTCGTGGTTGTGTGGATGCTGTTGCTCCGGGCTTTGGCTTGAACCATGTCTCGCCAGTCCATGCCATGCCTTTGAGTACTCTGCGCTGCTGATGCTTGTTGAGGCTCTTGTATTCTTCTGTGAGGTCTTCATCGTTGTTGTCATCTCTGTGTAGTATTGTTCGTCTGAAGTTCTCCAAGTTGTCCAGGGGTACCGGACAGGTCGGACAGGTGTTGGCATCTGGTGTGAAAAGTGCTTTGCGTGCTCGTTTGTGTATTCTCAAATACCCGTCGTTGTTGTATGTCCAGAGATCTGTGTGGCCTCCGCGCATTGTTTCCGCGCCGGTGGGGGTGAGTGTCACCGGCGAGATAGTTGCTTTCGCGCCGTTGCTTGTCTAATGTATGCTCAGGACCATGTTGTCGGGTAGCGGCACGACCCGTGTTGAAGGAAGTAGAGTCCATCCTTCTGCTTCAGTGATGAGGCGAAGCCTTTGCTGTGCGTGATGGGTGGGTTGTCGTTGAAGTTGATGTGAAAGCCTTGTTCTGCCAGTCGTATTACCGACAGAATGGGCTGTTGAACGTCACACATGTAGAAAGGTATGGCGATCGGGTGCCCGTGGGTGTTGTGCATGTAGATCCATCTGTACCCATGAAGTTGGATGTTGTCATCCGTCACTGTTCTGAGTTGAGGACCTTCTCCGCGTTGAAGTCGATGTAGTGGGAAGCTGTTGCCAAACCAGAGTGGACACACATGTGTTGCTGCTCCACTGTCAACCATCAGGTTGACAAGGCCGTCGTGTTGTTCGTGCCGGTGTGTCTGCTGGTGTTGACTGTTGTCGTGTGCTTCTTGTTCGTTTACTGCCGCCACGACGAGCTCCACGCCAGAAACCACGTGAATGGTTGGTGTGCTGTCCATCTGCTGTGCCGTTGGTGCTGGTAGTGCCAGTTGTGAGGCTTGTGATGCTGTTGCTCCTGCTGACGCATCATAGTGCCACCAAGTCGGGTCATAGTGCTGCTGCTGTTGGTACCAGTAGTCTGTCGCATCTGCCTGTTGCTCGTGCGCTGTCTCATGGGTGTTGAGAATGTAGACTGGAACTCTGCAATCTCGAGCCATGTGTCCTTGTTGTCCACATCTGTAACAACCTTGTGTTGTCTTACCTTTGCCTTTTCCTTTGCCACCTTTTCCTTTTCCTTTGCGGCGCTGATTGTAGTTGCCTTTGCCAGAGAACGGGTTGCCATACCCGATAGGTGTTGTGTATTTTCCTTTGCCTATGCCGTAGCCACATGCCAGTGCTGTAGTTGTTGTACCCTTTGTTGCTGTAGCCCTTTCCTTGTTTTCCTTTACCTTTGCCTTTGTTGTATTTACCTTTGTATTTGCCTTTGCCCTTGTTGATGGCTCCGATGTCCATTGGCGCTTGTCCTCCGCCATATTTTGTTGCTACGCTAGAGGAGCCTGGTTGCAGCGCCAACTTTGTGAAGGCTGTTGTTGCTCTGTAGTATTCCGTGATTGTTGTTCTGATTTGTGCATAGGTTGTAATTGTGCCGGCCAGGAGTTGGAGATGTTGTTGTAGAGGTCCTGTGGTTTCGTTCAGGAGTACTGCTATCTTGACTGTGTCTGGTAGTGTTGAGCCATTGTCTCGTTCGAACCTTGCTAGTTCGAACTCCCATGTTGTGAAAGACTCCTCGAAGTTGTTGTTGTCGAATTTCGGCTTGAGAAGTTTGGTGAGGTAGCCGATGCTGCGTGTTCCAAATGGTATTGAGAACCGTTGACAGGGCTGTCGAAAGATCTCCGGCCCCATCTCGTGTTGGTGTTGTCTGCAAACTGTTGCTGCTGATCCGGTGGTGGTGCTGCTGCCGCCATGAGCTCTGTGTCAGTGAGTCGTGTTGTTGCTGTTTCCGATCGTGGGTAGATGGCGTCCATCAAACCCATGTATGCCGTGAATTTGTACTTCCACTCCTCGAATGTTGCATAGTTGCCATCGAATGTTGGTGGTCGAAGTTTGAACCGGTGAGCTGTTGCTAAGGCTGTGGTGTCTTGTTCTAGGTCAGGTCCTGTTGTTGATGCTGCGTCTTGCTGCATGTGTTGCTTTGCCTGTTGAGCTCCCCCAGTGTTCTGGGATCAAGGCTCTGCCTGTTGTGCTTGTTGTTTGTTGTTGGAGCTCCCCTGGATGTTTCCAGGATCACTGCTCCGCTACCATGATAAAATGCTAAGTGTTGTACACGCGCCTCTTTTGTACTGTTGGGACTTGAGCTCAAGGACCCTGTTGGTGTCAACTATCTCATTGGTAGTGTTGAGACTGTTGTTTGACACCTCTCTCTCTCTCTCTGTGTCTCCTCAATGTCCCACAAGGGTTCCCAGGCACCCCGCTGCACGGACCATCCATACTGCACGATCATCTTGTCGTCCATCGTGGCATAGAGGGTGTCCTGAGATCGATCGACGGATCGACCGATGGTTCCCATGTGCGTCGTGTCCATGCAGAAGGTGAGAGCTGAAAGTGAGAGCTGTTGAATTCGTGTGAAGCAGATCATCCAAAATCAACATGTCCAGAAAAACCAGATCAATTTTGATGTATATATATATATTGCGGCCTCAAAATCAGGGTTTGGGATGCGTAATAATAGCCAAGATCCGTATTTAATAAGATTTAGCTCCAAAAAAAAGCAGCAGAATGAAAGCAAACGAAAGCAAATGTAATGAACTCCAAAGGTGACTATTATTGTGGCTACCCAAAAAAAACTTCAAAAAAAGAATTTGGAGACGTATCCCCCTTATTATTGCAAATTCAACATTAGCGTAGATGATGCTCTTTCGGAACTATTGGAAAGGAAGATATGCAGATGTTGGGTATATTCCATTACCGGTCACGGTGGATGATCTTCAGTAAAGGCCTTTCTCAAAAAGAGTGATCATCTCTTACCGACTGCTACTGGTAATGACCACCCACCGTATGTAGATGCAGAAGGCGGGGTCCACACAACATTACTCTTATGGAGCTAGCCTGGAGCTGCTGAAGACTAACATGCGCAGATGTCATGGACTCGCTGGGATTGTTTCCATCAAAACACTCAAACCTCCGATGTCCTCTTTCAGAAAAAGGTCGAGGAATTCCCTCAAAAGGAGGTTGAATTCGAGTCATGTTTGCCGCCCGAAAGGGAAAAAAACCTTCCTCTCTTCACTGTTTGGGCGCCCCAGTCTCCAGCACCCCATTGGTGCCCTGGGCACTGGTCGCGATCCGCCCGGCGCGGGTCTCGGTCTGCAGCAGCGGGCTGGAGCGCCCCGTGGAGCAATCCAGCACCAGCGGTGGGACGCCCTTCACCAGGACCACCGGCCAGCAGGAGTGGCGTCCACACGTGGCGGCCACGTCGGCGATCGTGCCGTTCACAGAGCAGGGGTATCTCTTCACTTCCGTGTTGTTCTCTCGAAGCTCGTAGACGTGGTATCTATCAGTGATGAAGACCTCCATGTTCAGCACGCGATGTGAGCGTGGGTGTGTCATGTCCTTTTTGTCTTGGTCCATGTTTGGTACAGGAAGAGTGGTACAGGACAAGAGGCTCCAGGATTTAAGATTTGGCATGCTTTCCTGCACGTAGGACCTTCAAATCAAGACTTCACAGGTTCCTTGCCTCTGCACTCTTTTGAATCAGCCTTTTGAATCAGCTCCAATGGGTGGAACATCAGCTCGTCTGCCGCTTGACGGTGGGTCATCTTTGGAGGTCTTTGAAGGCGACGAACAATTGAAGATCTTGTATTGTCCATCGTACCCCGCAAAAAAGGAAAGTAAAACATGAGCCAACAAAATCAAGCCTAAGAGCAAGGGTCCTATTCTATATATCATATATAAATATAAAGATATTTAGAGATCCATTTGGTTCGTGTGGCCCAGTGTGTCCCACCATGTCCCACCAAGGTTTGGGGTGTCTTCCAGGGTGGGACGTGGTCCATGAAACATTGGCAAATCTTCTCACTCCCTATATCCATGGGACATCTAGTAGCAAGAAGCTACTAGTAACAAGGGCATTACTACTACCAGTACTAGCAAGAAAGTACTATGCGTCTTCCCCGCCAGGTGTAGACCCTCGACGACCGTCTGCCTCGCGCCTGATTCCGTGGACAGACCAGCGCGTGAGGCCTCCAGAAGGGGCTGGGTGTGGCCATGGTCATCTCGCTGACCTGCCACGAAACGAATCGAACAAAAAAAAAACAGACGAACACAGTTCGAAGCTGGAAGTAGAATGAGAGTGGATAGAAACACAAGCTGAAAGTGGAATGAGACACCTCTGAAACAAAAAAGACGTCCAACCTGCAACTTCGTCTCTTTGGGTCTTATTGGCATGTATACCCCGAACCAGGGCCAATTCATGTTCACTATAGCAATCATTCAATTCCCCCTCCATCCTAACCTCTTCTGCCTCCCCACCAGAATCGCCTCAACAAACCACCCAATGGCTCTATGGAGTGCCCCTCCCACCCGCCTCCAGCAGTGGAGGCGTGTCGCCCCAGGTGGGCACGGCTGCCTTGCGGTTCTTGAAGTCCATGCCGAACCAGGCGCCATGCACTGCCCAGAGGAGCGCTGAAGCCCAAAAGCAGGCCACCACCTACGACCAGCAGCAGAAATCCCAGGATTTTAAGACCCTTCTTTTGAATGTCAAATAGATGTTCTCAGCTCAGGTCCCGGTTTTTAGGAACATCCCTGGTCCATCCCAGCCAGACGAACGACCGTACCAGGATCATGGCACCGTGCTGTGGTACTGTATGAATGCACATGAATACATCACCTGCACTCGTGCCCCATCCACCGCACACTGTCCGCGATCGCATCGGAGCAGGTCGCCGGGTCTGGACGAGCGCCGACGACGAAGCACGCTCGGTGACGTTCCCCTTTCAGGGAAGAACCCTTTACGGGTATGCGCAGCTGAGCGCTGCAGGGAAGGAGGGGGGATAAGTGGGCGTTGGTCGGTCACGCAGTAAAGGAAGGAACGTCCTGCATCACTTCGAACCACCTTTGCACACTGCATCAAAGATATCAGAAGTATGTCGATTTCGCGGCCAAATTGCCCTGTGGTCCAGGATTCCTTCGGGGAAATCCGTGGAAAAGGGGCTTCTGGACGTCTCATTGGTGAAGAATCCAGAAGACCCCCAAGAGCCCCACTGACCCAACAAACGACGCTCGCTTAGCTCATCACCCAGTACATGCCGCGTACTGCGCTGTGTTCCGGCCTTGGTGCCCCAGCGCAGCATGTTGCCCGGCAAGAAGTCCTTGTGGACCCTCCTTTGTGCCACGGGCGACTCCTCGGCCTCGGGCGCAGCATGTGGCCTTGCGGGCGCAGCATGTTGCGCGCACGCCGAGCCAGGCGAAGCCTCGGTGGGCTGAGTGGGCAGCGAGCCCCACTCCAACTCTCCTGCGGAGTCCCAGGGTGAAGCCTCCAGCACACAGGCGACCTCCTCCGACTCCTCCCCCTCCGCGGATGCGGTTCCACGCGCGGCTGGCTGGGCTGAACGGGGCGCCTCCGGATCCGACTCCGAAGAGACATCGCTGGTGAACTGGGAGACGAAGTAGACATTCACCAGGAAATGGGTGCCATAACACAAGGGGATGAAGAAGCGATCCATGATGACCCAACTGGTGGCCGCTGCAATGACACACCACAAAGGGCCTGAGGCCACTAAACAAGCCAAGACCAGAGGATGCTCCTGCATAATCCAGCGAAGCCTTGGGCCAGCGTTGGAGGGCGTAAAGATCGCCTCGGAGAGCTGGGGGGCTGGGCTGAGCGGGGGTGGCCAAGGCATGCCAAGGCATGCCAAGGCAACAACTGACTGGTGCGACTCGTAAGGAATAAGGGAATGGATCCTGAGGTATTTAGAGGGGTGGTTCATTCCCGCATTCCCTTACTAAGCACGAGTCTGACAAAGGCATTCAGAAAGGCCAAACTAAAACCAAATACATCGCAGTCAGGTTCAGCAGTCGGGGGCGGCTGCTTGGGGGAGGTTCAGCTTTCAGATATGTGTTTTGGAAAACTCAACAACTCAACACTTGATTTCAACACTCGAGTCTCCAGCAAGAAGTGAACGACCATAATATTGATCACCGTGAAGAGGATCTGAATGGCCCAAAAGGCCCAAGCATCTGCATAGCCACCGTAGAGAGTTCCGACGGCCAGATAGCCACAGGCTTCGAGGAGGTTGGTCGTGCCACGGGCCACACATTTGAACATGCAACTGGAGAACTTCCTCCAAGGCTGATGAAGGTCTCTCCACAGTTTCAAATGCCCGATGTGGTACTCATGTTTAAATTCACTCTTGGCCTCAACATCATCCTCGACAGGCTCCACTGCAAATGACTTCGTTTGCCAGCGTCCCCCCCGGCTTCTGGCTTTGCATGGCAAGCTGTCGAAGGAGCGTTCCGTGTTGGACCATGTCTGACTAATTTGACTCAGGCGACTGTAGGTTGGTGAGGCAACTCTTCGCTCGGTCTTCTCTTCCTGAGGGATCCGCCTCCAACTTCGAAACATGCGAGATGCCAGGGGCGGCATCATCATGCTACTCAGGGAGTGGCTTTCAAAGAAGGCTGTGTTCTCGCGGGCCTTCCGCTCCTTCATCCGATTGAAATGATGGTTCCACTTGGGTTGGATATTCAGAACGAGAAGATCCGTGGCCGTCTGATAGGCATTAGCGCTGGCAAAAATGCCGAAGAGAATGGAAAAGGAGAGGTGAAAGACTGCGCTTCCCAGACACAGCATGTAGGCGTTGAGCACAAAGGCAGGGCAATCGGTTGGAATTTGCCCCTCGAACAACATTTCTCCTGCGAGTGACAAAATCAATGTCGCCACCAAGAGAGAGTTGTTGATCTGGTTGATGTCAGAATTCACTAAATCTCTTACCTCTTCCCTCTTCATGGTCTGCATTTGAATGGCCAGATTGTCCTCTTGATACACATGAGCTTGCTCCACCTGTATGTCGGTCATCCAAGCATCTCGGTTGTAGGAATAGACGCCCGAGGCCCAGTTGTAGACCCCAGCAAGGGCTGCCCCGGCCACCAGGCCGAAGGACACCATGGCCGCTCGGGGTTGGCGGGTGGTCGAAGAAGAGATGTCTCGTTCTGCATCCTCGTTGACTACAGTACATGGTGTTTTAGTTATGTCTATATATACACTCCCGAAAACTAACATAGACCCTGACAATGGCCCCCCTGGAAGAGTGTTTTCTTCTACCAACCAGTGGTTTTCAAGGTCCATGTTAGTCTTCCAGGGTGTAGGATATAGGATACTAAACCTACATGGTTTCATTATAGATGATTGTGTGATTCTGTGTGGCACCCTCATGCCGACTCATGCCTTCAGCCCTTGATGCCCAATGAGCCTTCGATGTGACAAATTTGCCTTGCAATGAAGCACTAGTGACCTAGTGAGAAAAACAGCTCAGAAACATGTGCGTTTCATGATGTTCTTTTCCCTCCATCCTCCCGGGGGCTCCGGATCAGCTAGGCGCCCCCCACGTGCGAAAGTTCGACAGCTCCGGATTCACGATGGGCGAAATACACCTCGACCGATTCACACGCTCGGGGACGGCGGAGTGGAGCGCTCCGTGTCTTGCCTGACTTGCCTGACTCTGCACTGAGTCAGGACGTGTGTGAGAGAGAACAAAGCTTGGACTTGTGACTGCTGGGTGACTCGAAATGGCAGGTCGGTCCAGATCTCATGTCAGCACTACTTGGCTACTTGGCCAACTTGCTAGTGGCGCTTTGTTCGGTCATGTTCACCAGAAAGCTCTCTGAATGTCCACCAACACACCTGTTTGCTGACTGCCCACCTGTTTGGGTCTCAAAACGAGCCGCGCACGCACGTACTGTTTCGTCTCGCACTTCCAAGGTCCCTTGAAGTGATGAAGAGGTGGTGGCTTGGAACAAAAGTCCCAGTGCCAAAGAAGCCAAGCTCCGGAAGTGAGGGACGTAGTTGACACAACTATGTCATATCAGTCACACCAACATGCAAGCCAAAGGACCAACAAGTTCATGTTTCGCTTCCATTCAAGGGGAGTAGTCCAAAGGACCATCCCTACCCATATTGATCTATATTATATGTATATCATTGTATATCTATATATAATACATAATACAATCTGATAAATATATATATATATGTTCATCCCTCAGACACCTTCGCTACCCTTCGCTGCTTGTGCATTGCTCCAGACTCCCGCCGCCAGGCTTCCCCGCAAGACCAGCGCATTGCTCAAGATCCCCACGAAGATCACGCTGCGGGACATGCGATGCCTGGCCCCCCGTCCATGGCAGTCGCATCAGAGCGAGTCTGACGCCCACAGTCATGCTCACAACATGCCCTTGACACACATGGGCCACCTCACGATACTTCCATATCATTCAAGTAACCCTGCACCAGCAACATTATCTACATATATATATATATCTACATGCCCCTTGATTTTAGTGGCCATGCCATCCACTGCGCTAGGGATTACAGGGCTTTCTGAACAATCTGCCGCCCAAAAAGTCACGTTTGGGTGGCTTGGTTTTGCACACTTATATAATGAACACGATATCTCAAAACAGGTTTGATTTGGTAGAGCAGCTCTGAGGTTTGTTCTTTAATTGTTCTCAGGCATCGTCAAACAGGGAGGGGCGGCCTCTTTACAGAATCAACATGTATTTATGCAAAGTGACAGTTGCAAAATCATGCCCCAGTCATCAAACTCTATACAAAATAATAATTGCTGCACTAACATTAAACAAAAATGCTAATAATGCAGGCAGCCTAATTAGCACCACTAGCATCATGTTAAGAATGACTCGGCAAAGAAGAAAGTCGCAACAAGCTAGAAACTCACCAAACAAACAAAAGAACAGACAAGAAACCAATATAGCCAGGGAGTAAGCGATTGTATCCACAAAATAAAGGACCCAACCTTAACATCCACAACAAAAGAGTTTGCCCCACCTTCAGCACACAAGATTGGCACCACACAGCTGCATTTCCACTATGAAGGCCCCGCCCACTACCATTCCACTGGTGTTGTGGTACCCTGGTGCGCTGGGGCATTCTTACGGGCATCGGTCGGTATACAGTAAAATATCTGTCTCTTGTAGTAGTCACAATACCATTGAGGTCTTGAAACCAAAGTGAACGTGACTGAAAGCAGGCGGTGCTTTGGTGTTTGCAATGGAGAGCGGGTATTGTCGGAGGAGGCTGTGCATGCAATCGTAGCTATCAAGGAATTGCTTCCAGACACCATCAGTTGGCCGCAACCACGCAGTGCTCGCCCGCGCGTTGACCAACATAGTGCTGGTCCTATTTCCACCAATCTAGCTGTTCCTCTGCCGTGTTTTGGGCCCCCCCTCAACAGGGGAAGCACTGCAGACTTCCGTCACCCCAAAAACAGGCGCGACCCACGACCTCAGTCTGAGCTTCCTGGCTCTATGAAGACCTTGAGCCGTTGCCGCACCTTGGCGAAGCACTTGCCTGGCCAGGTGACAGAAAAGGCGCCGATGGACAGAAAGGCGACAACATCTTCTGTGGAAGAGCCCTTCCTGGAGTGCCCTTGGAGATTTGGAATTTCCTTTGGACAGCCATTGAAGCCCTGGATGCTACAGATGCGGTCCCCCACCAGAAGTCCTTCCTTGTGTCAGGAGAAGGTTATACAGTTATACAGTTATACATCTGACCATGGTCACGATTCGACCGGACTCTGAAAGAGAGGAGAACCCAAGTCACCAGGAGTTCTAAAGGACCAAAGGGAGGTCTTCAGATCCTACGTGAGTAGATCATAGGCACCCTACCCTCGAAAAGGCAGCCCTTTGGAACTCCTGGCTCGGCCATTTGAACTGCACCAGGGGACCTCGGGGCCAGAAAAGTGCTCAGTTCTCTCACAATGATTGCTCGCAACATCAGGACCTGTTCGCAACCAATCACACCCACACAAGAATTGGTCCCACCTCCCTCAAAAACCTCATGATCTTGAAACAACTCTCCGACAGCATCACCTCGCCTTTTCACGCAACAGCATCCCTCCGACACCCCTCGAAAAAAACTCGTGAAAAAAAGCCCAGACTGTCAGTTCCAAGACCCACCGGCGCCTTTCACCCCCATGCGCCGTGGCGGGATCAGCAGCTCCTGGAGCATCGGCGGAGGTCTCCGCTGAGGTCTCCGCAGCGCAGGGGTCCCAGTCGAAAAAACCTTGGGAGTCCCAGTGATGTGTCCTTTGTTTGTCTTTTTTCATTGGTCTCATTCGCAATGAATCGTCCCACAGACCCGACGCGACCCGTACGATGGCGTAGTGAAACATGAATATATGTGACCGTACGATGGAGTATAAACCAATTTAAGATCCTTGATCCAGAACTTTGGCCGTTCAATGTCGTTAAGATAGTCTACATCTGATTCTGCTATGTTTCTTTTCCCAAGGGTTGTGACACAGGTTCTAGGCGTTCCAGCTAGTGGGTGTTGATGGGAGGAGGAGGATTTCTTCCGACACGTCACCTGCAGGAGAGCTATATCACCAGTCTTGACCACCATTGCGTGTACATGGACTACATATCCAAAAGGAGATAGGAATAAAGGCTGCTCTGCTCTGCTCTGTGCCTCTCTGTCATCAGACCGTCAACCCTCCCGAAAAGGCGCCCCGTCCACCCCGCTCCACGTGTCACTTCACGCGTGTCGTTCGAAACTCGCGCGGGATCCGCTAGCCGCTAGCGCACCGGATTCATCAGGATCTCGCGCTGCAGCTTCTTCAAGAGCCGCTCCTAGCAAGAGGTGTCCCTACCTGGACTGCCAGCAGTAGTTGGAAAGGGACATCATGGACTGGTCTCCGATCGTAGACAGTGCGTAAACACAGCAATGGAATGGTGGAACACCATGACAATGTGACAAGGATCTTCCGATCGTAGATGTCTACGCTTTCCTGTTGAACTGTATTGACCCGGAGCTATTGGGAGAGATCCTAATTATCCTAATTTCAATACACCACAATGGACCTCAAAACTCCAAACAATGGACCTGCCTGGGTCGCACCAACCCTTCACCCGCAGCTCGGTCGATCCTCCGATGTGTCGGCGCTTTGCCCCTTGAACTCCGCCTTCGTGCTGGTGTACCTGCAGGACGTGAAGGGATGGTTAGACACCACAGGCCGAGCTGGGTGAGACACCAATTCCAAATGCTGAGGCGACATGTGGTGACATGTGGTGACTCTCCTCCGAGGTGGAGTGCTTTTTGCGAGTTTTCGCCGTGACGGTTTGTAGATGTGATGATGTTTGTTAATGTACCGCATGATGCAAGCATGCCGATACCTTCTCATTCATCTGGTTCACTCAGGACACTTCAGGTGGTGCACAAGTTTATCAAGGGTTCTAGGCAGCTATGAAGCTGCCAAAGGATAGGATATATGATGATATATGATATAGACTCATATAGTCGTAGTGTGTCATTGTAGACCCATCAAAAGGGTTGATTGGAAAGCTTGGGATATGACAGAAGCCTTGCGCCTAACGTAATCGTGCTTGGGCCGAACAAGAACCCAAGCAGCAGCTTGCCTCGGTTTACCCTCCCTTTCCCATCCACACTACACACTCCCTTTCCCTGGCAGTTCAGTTAGGTGGCTCCCACCCCCCAAATGCGCACGAGTCCACCAAAATGCCCGTCAACAGGTTCCTGTTTGCAACCAACGCCGGTTGCCGCTGCACCCGGCCGCGCGAAGCCGTTCGCTTCAACGCTTCGAGGGTGTCACTCGTCGATTCGTTGAAAAAGAGCCTCACTGGTGATGTCAACGCAGGTTTCAAGAACCCCCCTTGTTACTCCCCAGGGTTCCAAATACCTTCTGAGAAAGTGTTTGGGGCGGGTGCCAGGAGGGACCAAATACCTTCTGAGGATGTACCTGGAGCCCTAGGGACTGTAATTAGTTTGCTCCGGCTCCCGGGTGATCCATCCAGTGTTCACGCGCTTTGGTCAAGTTGTGCTCAGCGAAGTTGCATCAACTCATGCACCTGCCCCCCTGAAAGCGGGCATTTTTCTTGCATCAAGCTCCGGGTGAGCTCAGCCCAAAAAACATACTTGGTTGGCTTGCTTGGAGTCTTCATGTCTCTTC